AAGTCCATAAGGTACTTGTCGAATGGATCATGCAGACATTCCTCCCCTGCCTCTCCTCCTAGGCTTGCACTGCTGTGGGTCTCTGACTGGCCCCATTTACCTTCCAGCACCCACTTGGGTGTGCTCTGGCACCCACAGGCTCAATGACAGCTCTTACAGGAGAAACCGTGAGCAGTTTCACTTATCCCTCCAGACTGAAAGCCACAGTTTTAAAATATAATGCTCTTATTGAAGGAGGAAAGGGATTTCAGATTAATGGAAGCAATGGCTCTCGGAGTTTGAAAGTTTCTCCTTTTAGCTCCTGGCAGGGAGCAGGGACAGGCTCCAGGGGATGTCCTGTGGGAGCTCAGGCTCGGTGTTGTCTCTCACACTTATGAAATGCTTATTTCAAGTAAGAGAAACGTGTTCCCTGCTGTGATCTCCCCCTTCCCGGCACGATGACATCATGTTCAGCAAAGTGCTGACCCTGGATCTCACCGAGTTCCCGGAGCAGGAACAGCAGGACAGAGCAGAGAAGCCCAGAAGCAGCTCTGTCCTGGGGTAGCACGTGGACAGAACCAGGGCACAGCAACAGCAACTGGGTTCACAGCTGACTGTGACAAATGTGAGTTGGAACGTGGCTGTTGGAGGTTGATATGGGAATGTTTGTTCACTTTCCAAGGGAAGCAGTTTTGCAGAGCAGTCATGGAAGGAGCTGTTCCTCCTTCCTGCAGTTTGGTTGAGGGCTGAGAGCGCCCGAGGTTGTTGCTGAGGTTGTGCACATGCCTACACAAAGTTCTCCCCCAGTGTTCTGGGGGGTTTGGGCTGTAAAGATGAAGGGTGCAATTTCATAAGCACATCATCCCACAGAATAAGCCTCTTGCCTTTCTTAGGACAAGCCCTGTGTCCAGCTGTAGCACCAGTGTGGTGCTCAGGTGCTCCCCACCCCAGCCAGGACCCTTTGTGTTGCAGCTGCACCTCCAGGTAGGTGTTTGCCTCCAGGTAGGATCACTTCCTTGGTTTTAAAACCATAAGGTACTGGAATGTGCCCACTATCTTTCTGTGACACGCAGAAAGACTTAACTCTTCCACTGCGACCTTACCCAAATGTTAGTTAACTTTACACAAGCTCATGCTGTATCTCTACAGCTGTGGTGTAACCTGGAAACATTTCACTTCTGAGATATTTTACCTCACAGAAGTCAAAAAATATGAGTCAGATGCTATAGAGGCAGCAGCATTAGAAAAAAGTATATTGGTTGGTTATTATGCAGATATCCCAGTACAGTCAAGTTTATTTTGCTGGTTGTGCTTCATCTAAGCAGCAAAATTAATGAAGCTGGGGTACAGAACCCTGTTGGAGGGAGATGGAATCACTTCATCTGGCCTGTGTTCCCCCTCTGTGTGTGCTAAAGAGCTTCCCATGTTTATGGGTGTTGGTAATTATTGTATCTCATGTTCGCAGAGCAGGTTCCTTTTGCCCCCAGACTGCCTACACACACCTGCCTTGTTGTGTGCTGGGAGCCCTGGGCTTGTGCTCCCTGCTGGGCATGCAGGAACATTCCAACCACATCCATGTGCCCACTGCTCCTGCAGGCAGATGTTCATCAAACACTTGTGTTATGGCCACGCTTTGTTTAAAAAATAATTTGAGTCATGAATTACCCTAGAAGCTCGTAGGCTTTACCTCCAACAAAAAAAAGGGGATGCAGAAACCCTGACAAATTAATTCCCTGACAGATCTTGGGGCAAATTGTGGGCCTGGCTGGTGAATTCCACACAACCATACGAGACCAGTATCCTGGAGGTACAACACCTAAAAGTGCTCAGTAACCATCATCCAGATATTGGAGGGTTTTTTCCGTCTGTTATTAAATTCATTGACCTCCTCTTTATCTATCTCAGTCAATAGATCCTGATTTCAGTCCCCAGAGAAATTTGGGTATGCTAATTATGATCAGCTCCCCCTGCAATGGAGACCTTGTTCTGACACGCTGAAGTGCTGACTTCCAAAGGGAACACTGGAGCTGTGCAGGGATGGACAGGAGGCTCCCCTTTGAAAACACACAGTGTGGATTTTCTGCAGATGAAGGGCTGGAGACACTCGCCTGGGAAAAAACAGCCCTGTATGTCTGCCAGCAGGGAGACCCCCTTCCACAGGCTTCTTCCCTGCTCCTGGACCCCAAACACAGACCTGGAGGAACCCAGAGCCACTGCAGTCCCTCGTGGCAGCAGCCCATAAAAACCTCATTGCCCTTCTTGAATCTCCCACCCAAATAACAACTTGCTATTTCAGCAGGAAATGACGTGGAGGCCCTATGAAAAAAGCTTTCTGCATTACAAACCCCTGAGTATACCCTGCCAACATCCAGTGCTCAAAGAGCCCCGTGGAAAAACAAAGCACTCAGACTGATTACTGAAGTTTCTGTCATACTGCACACACAGGAAGAGCAACCTCAGTACTGACATGTCACAGCCTTTTGATGATTTACTTCATAACCTTTGTGTTGCTCTTTTAAACACAGTTGTTTGTAATGCCACAGAAAAATGGCAAATATCCTCCTTGACATGAGAAGCACCCTCTTAACTTAGGAACACCCATTTTCTTTCCTGGAATTGCTATTTCTAGGAACTGACAGTGACAGAAGAGAGAGGTAAACAGAGTGAGGAGTGCCAAAGCAGTGACCCCAGGTGTTCTGCAGCTCTCACCTCTCTGCCAGGGTGTGACCCTGTTTGGGTGGCACGTCCAGCACTGCCCTGTCACCCCCCAGCAAAGAGGGAGGCCACAGGTGCTGGTGTACCAGAGAACTTCTGCCCCCCCATCTGTCTTATTTATACTGAATTCAACCATTTCTTTGAAGAAAGGAAATGTTATTCTCTGCCCTCCTGTGTACTGAGTCACCTCCTCAGATCCAACTCCACACTGCAAGTCACTGCAGATATTCCTCAGGGTTTGTTACAGGAATTACAGCTTTGAATAGATGCACATCAATTCAGTTTGGACAAAAAAAAGGAAAAAAGCCCTCTCTGTGCAATCCTGGTTTTGTTACGTCTGACTTAAGGACTGGCATTTTGGTTGGTTGTTTTTCTCTCTGCACATGCAGCTCTCCCCAAAGTGTAACCCTAGCAGTCAGTAGAGTGACTCCAACACAACTGGCTGCTCTCCAGCACTTCCAGGCTGTAGGAAAAAAACCTTTTGTGAAAGAAAGAGACACGTTGTTCCTTCCTGCCTGAGGTCTGAGGGTAGCACAGGTTCACTGGCAAAGGGGTGTTTGGACATGTGTGGGGACTGAGAATAAAACTGTTGCTTAAGAGATGTCTGGCTGCTGAAACGAGTGTGACTCACTTCTACCTACAGGCTCTGGACAATAATGTCCCCTTGGTGGCCACCTTGCTGTACTCACACGCTGCAAAAAAATCTGGAGCAAGGGGTGTCTTTGAAGTACACAATAATTAAACTAAAACTGAGCAAAGCAGGAAGAAGGTGAGAAAAACCCAGTCAAGTTTAACCTTGGCATAACTCAGGTCATAGCTAGGTTTAATTTGGCTTAGAACTTTTAGAAAAAAAAAGTACAAAACAAACACAATAATCTATCAGACTGAGTCAGGAAGAGATGATGTTCCTACAAGGCGGAGTTGTGGTTGGGATCTCTTTTTCACCTCATGAAGCCCATGCTGGCTGTGATTCCTCTTAAAGCCACATGAAACAGCCAAAAACATTGCAAAATTTGGTCTCCTGCAACCCTGCATTGCTGAGTTCCCAGAACAAATAAAGAGAAGGAGGATGGCAGCAGGAGGGAAGCATTAAGAACCAGGGAAAAAGGGAAATGGAACCGGATGAGCAACTTAAAAAACAAAGGCCCCAGCCCCAGTTTTCCCCAATCCTCAGCCTGAGGATGCTGTGGATACACCACCCACCTGCATGACCACTCTGCCCTGGCAGGGCAAGCACAGCCCCAGCCTGCCAACACTGACGTGCTCACACATTTTATGGCCTGGAAACAATAGTAATGATGAGAAGAGAAATGCCCATAACAGAGCAAATTAATATTGCTAGCACACTGCTCGAGATTACCTTTTCCAACAATGTTAGAGAGATAGAGGAAAGACCTAACAAATTATGTGCAGAGTATAAAAATAATAAATTAAATTACAAGTGAGCAGCAACTCAATATTTTGCATGAAAAATCGATTTTCTCTCTCAGCTCTGTAATAGAGCCAGCAAAAGAAAGAAGAACCAGCATATTATCTCCTCAGACTCCTAAACTGCCCAAGTAGGGACCTTGCTGTTATTTTTCTAGAGCCACTAAAGCTTCTTCCTTTTGTAGCAGGTTTTGTTCTGCATTTCTCCCTTCACCCTCTGCTGACTCAGTGGCTGGTAAGTTTATATGTGGAGCTGATAGTGCTGCCTCATTTCTAGTCGATATTTGATATTGTGTGGCCTGTTTTCTCTGCCTACGACTTTTGCCAAACTCCGAGTGTTCCAGGTGAATTTTACCATTTCAGCCAGCAGGCTCAGACTGGATGTTTGCACCTGTTTAACTTCATTTCAGTCCAATGGAACCCTTCCTGTAAATAAAGCAATGGGAAAAGAGGTGGCCTGCTGTTGACACAGGGCCCCAGAGTGAAGCCATCCCAGCAGACAGGACTTTTGGAGCCTTCTTCAGCCAAGCCTTCCCTCAGAGCAGAGACAGAAAACATCCCATGTCCAGTCCAGGACACCTGCAGGACTGGGACAGCCCAGCCAGTGACCCACATCCAGCCTTCCTACTCATAAAAAAACCCACAAACAACTAATCACACTTTTCCAAAAGTGGCATTTTTATAAATATCCCAGGCAGATGTTTCATCTGTTCTGCAGCAGTGCCATCCAGCTCATGTAAGTGGGCACAAATGGCAGCACCACAAACTTCCAAACACAGGTGGCTTTGGGGCCAATGTCACCCAGACACTGCCCCCTCCCTCACAGCTTCTGGGGGTTTGGGGGTTGCTACGTTTTCGGGTTTAGTTCAGACCTCTTCCTGCAGTTCAGCTGAACTATCTCAGAGTCCCATGCCCAAGTGCCTCTTTTGAAAGGGCCAAAGTGACCACCCCTGAAACACTGAGGGACCAGGAGGAGAGGCCACTTCACCTCGCAGGGAAGTGGCCCCTTTCCACCAGAGAAAGAAAAATCATTTTCACCTCTCAGAGCAGCCAGCTAAGGCTTAATGAACACTCACCAGCCAGAGTAAACTTAATAAGCCTGAACTGATGAAGACAAGAATAATGACAAAAGAGACAGGTTCTGCTCCTGTGGTGAGATGAGCCCGGGTGGGATCACCCGGCACCAGCTTCCCGCTGCAGTCAGCAGCAGGAAAGCCTCTCCCAGGAGCAGTAAGGCCTCTCCCAAGAGTTAAAGCCTTTCCCGAGTCCTGTGGAGTGAGGAGAGTCCCTCAGCTCTGGGGAGTTACAAGTTCCTCCAGTGTGCCCTAAACCAGGCTGCACTTAACCAGCTCACAGCCTTTACCTGAGTTCACAGTTCAGGTTATAAAACTTCATGCTTCTCACAAAAGTACTCCCCAGAATAATGCCTGGGGCCCTGCCACTTGGCAGTCCTCAGGTGCAGACTCCAGCAAAAACAATTTGAGTTTATAAGGGAAGAGGAAAAGGAGGCAGTCTCTCCACACTCTTATGTTTTCAAGGTTTCAATACCCATTTCCTTATTTTAAATGTATTTGATTCCCAAACAGGCAAGCTCCAAGGTTTAAAATGAAAGAATAAATCAACAGCCCATCAAAAATAACAGTGGCATTACACCCCCCTGACTTTTGTTTTTCTGTTTGTCTTGCTGGAGCCCTGTCAGCTCCATTATTTTGTTTTGTTATCCTGCAGCCAGTTGTGAGAAGGAGTAACAGTGTCTTGGAGAGGGATCTTCCTCCTCACTGATGCAGACAAAGGTCTGGTGTCAAAGTTTACAAACCTTGGGCACGGGAGGGGGAATTCCAAGGCAGTAAACAGTAGTTTGTCACGTCATTTTTCTTGGCATTGAATTTTCCCTGAACACTGCCCAAGTATTGGAATACATTCCCAAGAGTTGCCAATAGAACGTTTCCTCACCCAAAATGAAGAGTGTTGACACACAGAGTAACTGTGGCAATGCAAACACCATTTTGTCTCGTCCTAGATAAACTCCTGCACAAAACATAATTTTTGATGTGTTTCCACACTCCATTCCTTCACTTCGAAACTTCTTTTCACGGCCAAAAACCAAATACATTCCAAATTTTCCTTCGGGAGCAAAACTTACTCTCTCTTTCAAGTCACACCAAAAATAAAGCTGACCCAGTTACCACAGAGCTGCTCAGTCAGAAATCAGCTGGGGAAAGCAGGATGAATGACATTCTGGATCAAATGCATAATTAAAGGGTACTAAATACAGCTGGCCATAATTTTTCAAAGGAAGAGGATTTTATACAGTTTTTTGTAAATCAACATCTTTTAGTGGGTTTTATGCTGTCAAAATTTTGGGTTTTTTACTATCTCATATATTTTGAATATAGCTATTTCTGCCAAAGCAGCTATGAACTCCTAAGAAACAATAACCAAAGCAAGTTTTTAACAAGAAATTTGGTTTCAAGTATGATTTGCTTTGTAGACTGTAACCCCTAAAATTACACCTTTATTAAAAATTTAATTTTTCTCTGAAAACCTTTTACCAAAAGGTATTTGCTTTTTTTCCTACTTCTTTTTAAATCCCAAAAATAGCTGTAAAGTAACAATTATTTTATGATTAGGTCAATAATCTGTGCTTAACTGACACCTGCTTGCAAAGAGGTTATTCACAATTTTGAGGTGATTACCAGTACTTTCATTTCCCCAAAACTCTACATTACACTCTGCTCTTCTTATTGGAACTAGATGATCTCTGAAGTCCCTCCCAACCCAAGCCATTCCATGATTCCATGATTGTTACTGAATTACTATTTCCATAAGGATGTGGAAAGAAACTTCTCTATTTCTCCTTCCCTCGAATATAAAGACACATTTTGAACTCTGTGACAAGAAACAATTCTAAAATTTAATAGATATAGTTTTCTTCTCATGAAGAAAACACACAGAACTTATTTTTCAAGGGAACCAAGCATTTGTTTCTTCCTTCTATCCACCTAAATCAATTTGCAGTAGCTACACACACACTTACATTGCAGCCTATTATTTTTATTTGATCACACAGCAGCTCTTCCCTTTCAAAGGGTCGTGTTTTGCAATGTGATTGCAATAAGAGCAGAGCACATTATTTTTACTAATTCTTTATTTAAGAAACAAAAGTCGGCATTGACTGAAATGCTGATTGTAATTGTTTGACTCAGAACAAGTTCCTAATAGAATTTCCTTTAATCAGTTCAGACTGGTTTTACAGTTTTGTTGGAGGTAAATTTAATCACGAAGACACAAAGTCACACGTAAATGTTTCATACTGTTTTGACTAAAACATCTCCTCTTATCCTGGAAGACAATTAGTGACATCTTGGCATTGTTTTGATTTCTTTGACTCCAAACTATTCTATTTTATAGCTTGTTGGCACTTTGATAAGGAATGAAGTTATTTGCAGAGCTCTAGCCTTTGCAGCATGGGTGTGTGTCTGCATGTCTTTGTGTTAATCCACACATTTTCATCCACTCTGGGAATCTGAACCTGGATGGAACCACAGAAATGCACACTGCTGGCTACGTGGCAACTGAAGTAATTATCCAGGGTTTTTTGGATGGGAAAGACTTTTCCATCATTATGTATTATTGCATCATAGGAAAAGAGCTGACCTGTCCCATCCCAGAGAGGATGGCATTTTGATCCAAACCTCATGAATAAATTTCAGCCAGTAGGACGAACTACATTAAATACTGAATTATCTTTATGTGTTTCATGGTCTTCTGCCACAGCTGTATTTCACTCTGGATTTGGAAAAATTCTTAAACTTTACAACTTACCTTCTTATCTTTGAACATGATAAGCTGCAGATTTTCCTGCAGAGAGTTCTGGTTCCTAGTCAAACTGTATGCTATCAGCCTCCCTGCAGCCCGAGCTGAGAATTAGCAACATCAGAAAGAAGCAAAAGCAGGACCTGCAGTCTCAGATAAATTAGGACAAAATTGCATAAGATTGATATTCAAACTGAACTTTCAGAAGATGCAAAAAATTCTACCCGTTCCTGTTTTCCCCTCTCTGGGGTGCAGAATAATCAACTTTAACTTCAGCAACTGATACAAGAGAGAATCTGTTCCGAGGCTCCTTTAGCAGCACTGGAAGGGAAACGAAAGCACTGCTCTGCTGCTGCAAGAGGGATTGAGGAGGAATTTGGGAAACAGAGCACTTGGAAGTAGAACAAGGGGACTAGGCAGGCTAAGGAAATGAAGTTATCAAACACAACAGTGCAGTAACACGAGGGATAGACACTAAGCTGATGAAAAGCAAGGCAAATAGGAAGGAAAGCTGCTTGTCCGATGTGAGTAACCAGTAGGCAGGCGCTGGGGTGGGTTCCCCAAACAGCAACACACTGTTGAAAAAGCATTTGAACTTCATCTCCTGCTGAAATCCCCCGCATTCACTGAGCTGCTCTGGCTCCCGAGCTGCACAGGCAGTGCAGGATTGCCAGGGGGAGCTCCGAATCCTCGGGCTTGGGCGAGTTCCCTTATTTTAGCACTGTGGGTTCTGCCGTTGGATTGGTTTTTTCCCCATGTACATGCAGATCGTGATTCTGCTCACAGAGCTGCAACCAGTGAAGAGAAAACCGGCTGCCCAGGCAGTATTCCCTGGTACACTTTGTGCAGCTCCTGATTACACTCCCATTTCTCCCACAGCAGCTCCCCTGCATGACACCACTGAGCCTTACTCACAGTCAGACTTTTGCCTGGGCGGTGGTTTATTTAAAGCTGGGTTTTCATTCTAGTTACTGCCTCTGCAGAATGGACAAGAGCTCTTTATCTGCCAGCCTTGTTGCTGCTGATCAGTATTGATCTGAAATGTAGGTACAGTCATTGTACATTTAGTGTCTTCGGGAGCCAGAGCTGAAAAAGTGACAATTTATACATGTTTCAGTTCCAGCTATTGCAAATTAGTCACGGGATAAACAGATTTACCATGCCAAGTAATTCCAAGATGAACTGGTAGGGTGAACAAAATTGTTTTAGAGTTTAACAGGATCACTGTGTGTTCAGCATCAAAAACTCACACTCAGACTATCATTACCTGATTTTGCAGGAGCTTGAGAGACAGGGGCATATAGACGGAGCAGCTGAGGCAAAGTGAGGTGCAGTGCAGGGATTTCCAAAGGAAATGGTGGAAGGAAAAGCAAGTCTCTGAGCTGTAACCCTCCAGTAATACCCCCTCACTCCACGGCCCCTTTGCTTTCCTCTCCTGTTTGTGGGTTTGTTTATCCGGTGTCAATGCACATGGAAACGACTCACTTGGCAGAAACCTCCAGCTCTCTCCTAAGTGCCAGAACGGGAGAACCCACAGCTGTTGGAGAGTGAACATCATGAGATGGGCAAGGGCTTGAGGAGAAGGACGGAGTTAACCCTGTGTATTGATGTGGTGCCCCACAAGCATGACCCCTGGGGTAACACTTACAAATGCTAGAGACGCCACAATTAACACGGTGATTAGGATATCTGACTCTTCACAGTGTGTATGCATGTAAAGAGTGTTCCATCTAGAAACACAGTTATTCCTTGAAATACTGACTTTAACTTACACAGGAAGCACAACCTGTGCCTTGTTTTCCATAGTTGGTTCCTAAAGATAGACATCAATTCATGTTCTAAGAAAGAGCATCTTCACAGGAGGGTGAGGGCTGCCCTGGGAATCACAGGGGACGTGCTCTTAAATGGCACGTGGTCCAGAGTGATGCAGGGATTGACCATACAGAGCTCTTGCTTGTTGACAAGTCCAAAAAAGATAAACTGGGGTAAAAATAGGAAAACAGACAGGCACAGATTGGAACTTGTGCAAGAACTGCCTTAACCAGGGCCATGATTTTCCAACACACAGAACTGGATGATGCACAGACACTGCTCTGTTCTCACCCCTATTCCCCAGCTGTATGTGAGCTACAGAATAGTTTCATTAAAGCAATGGGTGCATTAGAAACCACTGTTACCTAGGACTACATTCCCACACAGCATAACTGAGGCTGCAAGAAAAACAGCAGGTTGTCCTTCATAAATATATTAAAATTAAACTGCAGAAAAGTCCGACTTACACTCATTTTGTGAGCTTTAAAGATAACTATTCCTATCTCTACACCTACATGTGTTCCCACATAAAATACTACACTAAATTACAGTAAAAGAACACAGAGGATTGTATCCTGACTGAGACTTATACCTAAAACACAAAAGAAATCGTCACATTCAGAGATGCAAAAAATGCTGAGTGGAAAGATACACTGGAGGAGGAGGAATAAATTCACAAAACCCACTAAAAATTGGAGTTGTAGGGAGAGTTTCAGATCTGTTGTTGCTGCCAGAAAGGACAGTGGACAAAGGAGAGTCAAGCTCTATGATACGGCCACACCTTGTTTAACACAAATCAGAATTAAGACTGATACACCAGTAGAACTTTCATTATGGACTTATATCTGACTGTCTTGATTTAAAATACTATATAAAATGTAGAAAAAGTGGGTCATAAAGATTAAGCAGGATTTTTCCATTATTTCACAGTGTAATTTTGCTTACAGTACAGCATCCATTGCCTTAGCACAATTTATTTCTGGGTTACTGTTTGCATTCTTTGCTTTTTGGGCAGCAAATTCCAGATTCAATATGAAGTTTAGGTACAAAAAAGGCTTTAAAATAACCCCTTCTCTAGGACATCTGCATGTTTGCATCCTGTGTGGCACAAGTAAAGCCAGTAAAGAAGTCAGTAGGAATTTTTCCACTAACATTAGTTAGTGGAAAAGTCCTTCCAGCCAAACCCCCCCACCAAAACCCCCAGGACAGGGCACCTGGGTCTCCCCATTTCACCACCTTTTTTTGGGATTCATGGTCTTTTTACCTCCATCCTTCACAGGTCTGCCACAAAAAGGCTGGAAGGCTTTAAGGAAGTCCCATTACTGGGAAACAACTTCTATTTCCCTAATTCACGAAATGCAAATAACGGTGTTTCCTTCATGTGCTGCAGTCCAGTAAGGAAAACCACAACAACAAACCCCTAATAAGTTGTTATAATGAGGAGAATTTTTCCATGCACAGCTGTTGGCTAAAAGAAACAACAGAAATCTTACCTGCTGCATCTCACTGGTCCAGTTGAGACCCTCCAATACTCGTGTCCTTAGGGTTAAGCTGGGTCCAGAAAACAAAAGAACAGGAAGGCAGTAGCTTTGGGCTTTTACCCCGAGATCAAAACCTCCACTGCCATATAACTCCAAGTGCTGCCCTAGGAAAAGTTCAGTCTCCCACTTCACATGTGCTCAGGAAGCACTGGCAACAGAGTGTGACCCTGGCAGGGTTTTATGGTGGAGCAGGGACCCTCTGTCCTCCTACAGCTGGGGCACAGCTGGAATAAGGTGGTCTGGGTAATTTAGGGAACACAAAGTGATGTTTGCTCGGGCCCCCAGCCCTGCTGTGGATCAGGGTGGTGCTGCAGGTGAGGAGGCACAGATCCAGCATCACCTGCAGTGCTGTGTCCAGTTCTGGGCCCTCAGCTCAGGAAGAGTATTGAAGTCCTGGAGCAGGTCCAGAGAAGAGCAACGAGGCTGGGGAAGGGACTGGAGCACAAGTGCTG